GCAAAGAAGAAATGCTGCCAGTTGCCCTATCACACAGATGACAAAGATCTTTGCATCGTGGTTTTTCTGCTACAAAAACCACTCTGGTGAGATTGTGGCTCCATCCTTAAAAGTAATGGGAAGGCTTGGCAGTGGAGGGGTCCTGATTGCCCTCAGCACTACACAATGATACGCTCACACTCAGGTGTGAATAATTCCAGCAGTCTCAGTGTTATATCTTGATGATCTGCTAATTCACATCTGTCCTCTACATGTAATTTTCCAGTAGCTACTCCTAAAAGCACCTCCTAAAACCACAGGGACGCTGCCTAACTGCTAAATCTGAACATTTTGCAAGACAGCAATATGCCTGCTAAAGGAAAACAAAATGGCAAGCTCACATGCATGATAGGATTATTTGATTCAATACAATATAAATTAGGTCAGAGTCCTCTTTGGAGAATTCGATGTCAAGAACTAGGTGGTCCACTAAATTTCTATTCATTTGCCTCTGGGCTTGGGGAATTGCAAAGACTCTCAAGAAACTGATGTTCTTTTACTCACAAGAGTAATCACTATTTGCTGGGGAAAAAAAAAAAAAAGCTCTCAGTATCTCATTGCAGCTGCTTGGCAATATCCAAGGACTTGAGCAAGATCTGTATAAAGCAGCAGCTATTAAATATTTGTGTGTATATATATATAATATGTATATAAAGAAAAATATATGTGTATATAGGGAAAAAAGGTGTAACAGTGCCTTTGTGTACTTAGCAATTACACTGCCCTATTATTTCTTTATTTATTTATTTATTTTACCTTGAAGAAAAGTAACAATTTATGGATCCTCGTTATACCAGCAATAATGGAATGATGGGAGAAGCACCATCCATAGAAAGGATAAGGGATGACAGGCTGGAAGCTCTGCCCAAGCCTGCCCTGTGGCACTCCTCCTGTGCCAGAACACAGCACTTCTAAGACATGCTGTGGTTACCCTGCTTTCTGATTCCAAGAGCAACCTAACTAAACCTTCACACCTCCGAGGTGCTGGCATCAGTCCATGCCAGTAACTCTAAATAAACAGGAGGAGGAATGACTGCTTACATGTGTTGATATTTGATAGGACAAGGGGGAATGGTTTTAAACTGGGACGGGGAGGTTTGGGTTAGATATGAGGAGGAAGTTTTTCACAAAGGGTGGTGGTGAAGCACTGGAACAGGTTGCCCAAGGAGGCTGTGGATGCCCCATTCCTGGAGGCATTCAAGGCCAGGCTGGATGTGGCTCTGGGCAGCCTGGGCTGCTGGTTGGCAACCCTGCACACAGCAGGGGGTTGAAAGGAGATGATCATTGTGTCATTGTGGTCCTTTTCAACCCAGACCATTCTATGATTCTATGACTAAGAGCAAGGCACAAGGCACAGCCCTTCAGCAGTCCTGCTGCAGATAGATCAGGTGAGAGCATGCAGGTGAGTCTAAAGGACTTGATAACCAGATCCTCACAGCTGGGGACATGATGCCTATAGCCCCCAAACCTGCACAGGCACACAGCTGGTCATCCTGAGCACCAGCTTTATCCCTACACCTCCAAAAGTCACACACACATTAAAAGAAAAGCCAACAAGTCTCTCTCTGCTTCCATTCTTCAGAAGGGTACACAGCTTGAGGCAAATCTCTTGCTTTTGTCTTGTTTACACTAATGGGTTTACTAACTTTCTCAAGCTGGAAAAATTTTGCTCCTTTTAGACAGAAACAGAAGATTCACTTGTGGATTAAATCCTCAATCAGGGCCATGAAATATAATTCCACTGTGGCTAAACTGGGGCAAAACCTACTGCTATGTGCAAAGTACAGGGTTGCATTTTCTCTATGTATCAAGCCAAAGCATGCAAATGAAAATATTTAAATCTGATTAATTACTTGATTTGGAATATATGCTTTTCATTCTACTGTATCAAAATACTCATAACAAAACACTGCTACTGGTGAAGTCAAGCACACCCTTACAAAAACTGGCAAATTTGCAGAACAGCACTTGAGGTTTAGATTAGTAAAATCCTAATGAATATCTACTCTAATACCCATGTAATTGCATGGAATGCATTTGCAAGTGGTTCAATTAATAAAAAGAAAGAAAAAAAGGAAGAAAGAAAGAAGAAAAAAAAATCTGGAACAAATGAAGTCCAGACTGTTGTTTTAGTGTCAGCTGGAGAGACCAAAGCAAGAAGAACGAAGATCTTCACTCAACCTCAAGAAAGGAAGAATTGCAGCAGAGACCTCCAGCTCTTTCCCACACCACAATACACCTCAGTATTGTACTCTGTGTACCAAGGGCAGCACTTAATTATATCCTTTTTGTCCCAGACACCAAAACTGTTTTCAGATTTTATCCAATGACTTCGTTATCAGAAATGCCCACCTCATCCTGCAAACCACCCAAAGCCACCTGCTTGGAACAGCACACGTGAAGGCTGCTGCTGCTGTACTGCACAGCTTTACAGTTCTTTTTAAGAGATGGTACTCAGCATAACTCTGCCTTATTTCCCTACCTATGATTCATTTTATCCCACAAATCCTCTGTGCAGACATACATGCTTTACAGGTAGAACTAGTGCTGTAAGAATGAGGCCACAAAGGACTGGTGGCAAGCACAGATGAAGTATCAGCTAGCACAGGACATCTGAGACCAACTCATAATGTATTTTATTCCTAAGTAACTGGCTGACTGTGATCCTGCAACTCTGATTAATTTTGCAGGAATGCTTGGGTAGTGTTTGTAAAAACCAAGTCATTACCTTGACTAAACATTGACTTGCACAGTTAACTTTAACCATCAAGACCTTGTCTAAATATTGACTGGGAAAGTTTATTTGAACTATAAAGTCTAGAAAATCTTGGTCTTCCTTCCTATATTTGCTATCACTTTGAAAAGTAAACACAGTTGTAAAAACAGAAGTTCTCTCATCAAACCACTATTTAACCAAGTAGCTTGGCTGCTCCTAATTCAATACAAACATCTTGCAGGACTGGAAATCCAAACTGTTTAAAAGCAAAGAGGCCTGTCAGAACTAGGGATGAGAAGGAAAGACAACCTTCCTGCATTGTGCTTGAAGCAAGAACCTCGGGTGGGCCTTACAAAAGGATTAATAAGGAATCATGAGGTTCATGGCTTAAAATTGTTTCAGTATATGCATCTTCCAATGCATACTTAACAATGGTGTTCTGCTCTCAGTACCAGGCAGGCTGGCCACCAGCACAGTGTGTTCATGCTCGTATCACTACTTGGGAGGCCCTACAGCACGAACCGCAAGCCAACATCCTCCACTGCTGATGTCACTTCATCATGTGAGGCCACGGGTCAAAGGACATACATAGGGTCTTTCACTGGCTGAACTAAAAATAATAATAAAAAAAAATCAATTTCAATCCTCCTAAGATGAAACCACTGATGTGTGCAGGCTCTGAAGTCCCAAAGGTAATCCTACAAGAAAACATGATGGTGTCCTCCATCACTGTGCTGAGATACTGTTAAAGTGCAGCAGAATCTCCTATGAGGCACAGCCCAAGAGCAGCATCTATATCAAACCCCACAAACCATAAATCTGAACTTGCAGACCAAAGTGAATGGTGTGTTAGAAGGTGTAATGGACAAAGTGAGAATGACAAAGGGGCAGGGAATGGCATGGTTGGGATAGAAATAAACAATGGCTGTGAAGCCAGCACTAATTCTACCTACAGCTCCATTTCAAGAGTTGGAAAGTGCCCTTTAGCTTAATGCCTTCACTCCTTTATATGTTAGCTTGATGAAAATTAGCTGAGGAGCGAATAGAAAAGATAAAAATCTCAGACAAAAGTCGGAATATTGAACTTACTGGTGAAAACTCCCATTATTTTTGAATGGAACAGAGAAGAACAGCTTGATACCGGCGCTGTGGGGGGGGAGTGGGGGTGGAGAAAGGAAGAACAATAAACAATACCACGGTCCATAGTTTGCACAGTGCTGCATCTCGCAACGGAAACATACTGTGAGACAGCTTGCGGGACAAGCTCCATCAACGCTAAGTAATTTTTATTCCGTTTGAGTGGTTGAAAACAATAAACATGATTAAGTGATTCAGACGTGCATTCAGAACGCAGACAAACGGCAAAGAGTTCCAAGGACTCCGCTTTCACAACTACTTCTGGGGAAAGACCTCAACTTCACTTGGAGCAGCACAGCGCAACAGAAGTTGGCACTGGAATTAAAAGCACCCCATCACCTAGGGGGAGGGGAGTGGGGGGGAAGACAAGCTTTGTTGAGAGCTCTCCATCGCATTGCTGGGCCATTCCTTGGGTATTTAGGATGGAGAAGACCACCGCGGGCAGCACCCAGAGGAGAAGCGGCCGCTCAGCTCCCCGCGCGGCTGTCCCAGCCTCACAGCCGTCTGCTCGCAGGTTGAAGCCATTCGTGCTCCCCTGCCCGTCCGCTGCCGGGAGCAAAGCCGGGTGGTTCTGGGGATGGTCTGGGGGGCAGCGGCCCCTCAGCTCCCGGCGCCATTTCCCCTCCGCGCCTCAGCGCGGCGTCTCCCACCCGACTGCGCCTTCACGGGGAGAGCACGACGGCGCAGCCCGACCACCGCGGCGCGGAGCCGTGCCCGCTGCCCGGGGCACTAACAGCCAGCGGGGCCGGGGCGAAGCCGGCAGAGGAGCGAGATCGATGCTCCCAGCTGGGGGGCGGCAACGACCCGCGGAGCGGCCCCGGCCCGGCTGGGGGTAGCAGGGGAGGGGGGAACCCCGCACAGCATCGCAGCGCAGCGCGTCCGGGGATGGAGGAGCTGAAAATCAAGCCGCTTCTGCCCCTGAGACTTGGGGGAAACCCTCAAGTTGCCGCCACTTGCAGAGATTTCAGCCCCTTTCCTCCTCCGGGTGGCGAAAAAAAACTTCCACCGGAGAGCCCCTGCCTTTCCCCAGCAGGGAAAGGGCCCCTCCGGCTGCGCTCGCCCCGGAGGACGACCCACCCAGCATCCGCGCTGCGAGCCGCTTCCTCACCTGCCCCAGCGAGCCCTCTCCTCCGCGCATTCCTCTGCTCCCCATCGTGGGCGCAGCAGCTGCTGTTATTCCTTAGGATACACATGGCTCATCCATGCTGGGAGAACCGCCTTCCCGCGCCGTCTGCCCTCTCCGGCCCCGCCAGCGCGGCGCTGAGGCCAGAGGGAGGGGATAGGAAGGCGTGCGGCGGAGGAAGGCTGCTGCCGGGGGTCGGTCTCCTCCTCCTCCCCCTCCCCCCCTCTCGCAGGGCTGGGGACGGGGGGCGGCCCCTGTCCACGCGTGGAACCCGGCCGTCCCTCGGGGCTCCGCGGCCGTGGAGTTCGCCGTGGGGAGGGGTCCGAACGCCCCGCTGTCACCCCGCTGCTAGCGTGGTGTTTTTCTCATGGCTTCTCTCAGTCACCCGTGAAAATTTAATGAGGCATTTAGGGCTGTTACCTTCAGAGTCAATGGAGGAAGCATATTTAGCCTAACGCACTTGCTGCAGAGCCAGTAGGTCTATTGCAGGCAGATCAGAAGTCAGAGGGAGACGCTCCTTTCAACACAAAATTCACGACCCATTAAACTTATTCTGTGATAACAGCTTCTTTACAAACGGAGACCATAGAAAAGGGAGGCTGTCATGCACTTCCTGAAAGGATTTACATACAGAAGAGAAGTAGTTGGTGAGGTTACTGCTATTTCACTAGTGTTATCTCCAATCGAGGCATAAAAGCAGCTCAACTCCAGCTAACTGAGGTAAATTACTGAAAGAAAAGCTTTTTGTAGCTGCCAGATCGATGCGATTCACCTCGAGGGTCTGGGTGTTGAGGAGATGGCTCCAACTCATTGGAAGGTACCAGCAAGACATCGTGCGGAGTACACCAATAATGCTCCTTAAGATGGCCATCAGGTGTTCAAGGCCAGGTTGGATGGGGTCCTGGCAGCCTGGGCTAATATTAAATGTGGAGGCTGGTGGCCCCGGCTTGCAGCAGGGGGGGTGGAACTTCATGATTTTTGGGGTCCCTTCCAACCCGAGCCATTCTATATGATCAGTCAGTGATCAGCACGATGCTCGCCAGGCAGAAAGATGCTTACAGGCTGACTTCCCTCCAGCTGGCAGGTGAGAGGTCTGCACTGACATGGCGAATTGTTTAGCAGGGCAGAATACCCATCCATGAGGCTCAACACACAGATCTGAGAGCACTCCTATTTATTTTCCTCAATAACTCATTCCTTAATGCATTAGGCATTAAGCATAACAGGTACAGTCATCTAACAATCTTTACTGTTTTTACACAGTAAAGATAAATAAAAGTAAAAGTAAATAAAAACAACAAACACATTTCAGAAGTCATACCACACTTATAGAAGCATGTAGTGGAATCAAGACTTCTACTGTAGAACTGTTTTCTTCCATTCATTAAAGAAATGAAAGGCAAGTTTATCAATGGAACTCACTTATTCTAATGTGGGTTTAAATAATCTAAGGCCCTGTAGTAAAATGACTGCAGCAATGTTTTCCACTGGGGTGAATTTTGTCATCTCAAAGAGACAAGAGACTGAAGAAAAAGTCAACAAACAGAAGACACTTTTCCATTAGGAAATAACAGCATCCTCTGGATGACATTCTGCCATGCTTGTCTGTAAGCATTAAGTCAGACAAAATGTTTGCGAACTTCAATTCTCAAAAGGCACATTTTGTGTTGGGGAAACAATCATTGAGCTGCTCTCCATCCTTGCCTGTTGCACTGTAAAATGAAGTTGCATTTTTCACGCTGCTGACCTCCCTCATGTCCTGCTTTTAACATAAGGGTGCTGGCTGTTGGTGAACAAGAGCAGGGACTTGCAGTAAGCATAAACTCCATTCCCATGTTAGAAATTTGTGGATGCAAGTCACACTTGCTAACAATATTTTTTAAATATAAAAGAACATACTTGCTCACAGCCTGTAATAAGAATGCAAATGAACTTGTAATTATACTATGCAATTTCCTGCTTAAAAAAAAAAAGAAAGAAAAAAATGAAAAAAAAAACTATGAAAGTAAAACAGACCTGAAAAGTAATATGAGCTGCAGTTCTTCAATGAGTTCCTCCATTATGCAGGAGTTAAGCAGCCTGCTATGTTTTGATACAACATATTTTTAGGCCGTAACTTCACAACACAGATTCTCATATGGGAGCATTTATATGGTCAGAGTTCCTCCTCTCTACTGAAAAAAACATGAGCAAGAGCAAGAAATGTGGTGTGGAGATTTCCACAGACTTCTTTTGTTTTGTCTGTGAAGCTTACTTAAACACAAAGTTCCTATGTTCTCCTGACTAATGAGGTACTGCTACACCATCACAAACAGGGATAAAACACCTACTGTAGGCTGAACACATCATTTTCAGGAACCACTGAATAGCTACAGATAGGAACCACAATAAGTGGTTCTCTTAGGCTATTTTCCAACAGGAGCCTCAGCACTTACTGAAAGGAAAGCAGTATCACCTTCTTAGCTCTTGATGAGATTTGAGCTAACAGGATCACAAGCTAGCCAAGGGTTCCAGTACTTGTTAGTGGAGACAGAGATGAGTTCAAAGATACAACTGAGAGTACTGAGCAAATTATTCAAAGAAATACCTCAAAATACCCCCAGAATCCCCACTACTGATCCCCACATACCTGTACTTGAAGTAATTTGGTTTATTACCCAGTTTACAGTAAGGTCTGCAGTTGCTAGTAAGCTGCAGTAAGGAGTACTGCACTAGGCACGAACATCTGCCTGGTGGTGAGAGAAGTCACAGGAGAACTTCCTAATGGAGTTTTCTGACTACTTAAGAAGAGGGTACTCACATCACTTCTTTGTGATGATCACCCCACACATTGGTTAATCAGCACCACACAAGCTGAGATGAGCTGGTTTCCTTTCAGAGCCTCAAATAAGTCTCAGATAGTCTCAATAAGACTCAGTAGTCTCATAGTCTCAAATAAGGAACATTTGGTGAAAGATAGTTTACCTTCCTAAAATTTGCTCCAGTTACGCAAACTTTAAGTGTTCTGCTGGGCAAGGAGAAAGTTTTCTTTCATTTAACCCACTGCATTTTGTCCAGATGCAAGCCTGTGTGTTTATCATGTGAAACATTAAGGCAGTATCCACACCATAAAACTAACACCAGCCTGCATAATTGGTAAATCACTAAGCCATAAAACCTGTGAGGTTACTGTCAGCACGTGTGTGTAACAGCCATTAGTATTAATGAGAATTGGGCATTCTCTGAGACAGAAAATGGGGGGTTATTTTCATTAAACTAATTCATGTATCTTGAGTTGTGATTACAAGGGGCTAGTGAACAATATGACAAATAAGTTTAGGGAGATGTTAGTTGAGGAACTGTAGGTCACGCTTGCAAAGGATTGAGGAACAAAAGAGATTTGTTGCACTTTACAAAGTGCGATTCTTGCAGTGAGTTTTGAAATATCTGATGAGAATCTGCCATCGTTTCTGTTGTTAATGTCTCATTAAGACACAGAACAATGTGCAGACCGTCCCTTGCCAACTGAGTTTTCAAAATGACAGCTTCCTCACAAAACCACTCTTTGCTTTTACTCATACATATTGTAACCCACAGCAGGATCATCTTGATGGCTCTCGAGATACTCCATGTGAAATAGCTCCTGACACAATAGTGCTTCCAGTTTTAATAAGTTCCTCTAAAGCAATTAGGCAGTGGCAGAAAATAATACCTGCTGCATTATCAATAGTAGTGGTAGTTACCAGCAGTTATGTAGCCCCTCATACCTTTGTAGTCACACAGTTAGTTCCTTAGCCATTTAGCAGAATCAGTCATGACTTGGTATTCATCCTGCATTTTATCAAATGGAAGGAAACACAATTCTCTATTTCAGCTCTCTCATTCCATTAAAGATCTCCTGTAAGGGATATTTTCTTAAAGATACTTACTAGGCTAATGGGTCGCTGAACAGAGTACACTGCTGAATACTGCTCTTGCCCTTCAAAAAGATCTACGCAGAAAAATGGCAGTGCTGCTTCACAGGAAATAAGAAGCCCTCTATCTTCTGGCAGTGAGTTTTTTTCACGTCAGAGAATGGTTATGATAATTCCTGACCATACAGTGCAATCTGGTGAAACAGATGAATGATCCTGAAAAGTCACAGACATCTGTTAAAAGCCAGCACACGAACATACTGCAAATGAAATTTAAGTCTTGAAAGAGCCAGACACCCACCACTGGCTTCTGATGGAACTCTGCACGCTCCTTCTGCATCATGGGCTGATCACTGAAGGAGTTCTTCCTGTCATACTTCTCAACAAAGCTTGTATGATGGTATAGTTAGACATGCCAAAAGTTTTCAGGGGTCTGGTTCAAATTCCAGCCCTGTCACTGACCAGTTCTGTGACTCTGGGTAAGTCAACCAGTGCTTTTTATCTGTCAGTCTCTACCACACCTATATACCATATCAACCATGAGACTTTCTCCACTTTTGTTTTGGAAAGACCGCAGAGACTGAAAAGGACATACAACACCACATACATGCTAACCATTGCTACAGATGTGACTCTTTGATTTTGAGACAGAAAAACAGCAAAAAGATCTTTACGTTATATCTGCCAGTTCCTGTCATTCTCCACCACATTCAAAATGTCTTGAAAATTCCCTTTGAAAATATTTCAAGTTGAAGGAGGAAAGATTTAGGTTGGATGTCAGGGGGAAGTTCTTTACTGTGAGAGTGGTGAGGCGCTGGATGCTTGGATGCTCCATCCATCTCTGGAGGTGTTCAAGGACAGGTTGGATGGGGCCTTGGGCAGCTTGGGCTGGTATTAAATGTGGAGGTTGGTGGCCCTGCATGTGGGTGATGGGTTTGAGCTTCATGATCCTGGAGGTCCCTTCCAACCCTGGCCATTCTGTGATTCACATGATTCTATGAAAACACCGCTGAAATCTCCATAATGAAACCTCCTTCCTCAGTTGCAAACGAACAGTTCCAACATACAGTTTACAACTACCCCTCTAAAATCAGCCTTCAAGCAAAGGGCAATAAGTGGATGTCCACCTTGCCAAATCATGGAAGTTGTGGAGGCATGGCAGATTAAGAAGCGTATTATTGCCGAGACGCCCATGAAAGAGCCGGCGATTCGTCAAGTACAGAGATCGACTGCTTCACAAATCCAAACTGCTTCATATTTCAAATCCTCTTTGGCAAGGTGCATTTCCCTTCACAGCCAATTAACTGCAAACTAATTTAGAATGGGTTTGCTTTTGCAAACATTGTGTCAGATTCCAACAGAGAGCTTGTCGCTAAGAACATGATATACGC